CACAACATAGGCCATGACCTCGACTACTTGGACATGGTTAATACCCTTGAAGGTACCTCTCTGAACTCCCAAAAGGTTCGTACAGTGGTATTGTTAATTATCACCGATTGTTGGGAGGAATGTATGGACTTAAGTGTCTGTCACTTGCAGAAAAGTTCCTTGGTGGGATCAACCCCATTCGACCCGAAGAAGAGCAAGGTGACTGTGCAACGTCCGGGTGAGCAGAAGGCGCATCAATGTGGTCCAAATTTGAAAAGGAATAAGAAGTCTGACTCCGTGAGTTATTTTTGATAATCAGCTGTACCTACTGCCCCTACTTATTACCTCAATTTGCTCCCCAGATAGGAAGAGTTTAGTTTGCGAATTGCAGACCAGAATCGAGTTGGTATTTGGCAAGTGGAGGTAGACAACTAGTCCCATCATGTCTGGAACAAAGCGTTATTTGATTTGTGGGTCTTCGAGCAAGCTTGCATGTTTTTGCAATCGTTTACCCCTGTCGCGTTTACTTGGAAGAAGTTAGTGGTGGCTGAGCAGTTCATTATCAACTTGTTTATTGCATAGTGGATTGGGGTGCAAGGATTGGGATTGTGTTATCTCTCGGTTCTTGGGGGGAGGGCGGGAGCGAGTTATCATACGTGATCATTGACCTCGATTAATTCACCTTGCACTTTTGATATCAGCGTTAACGTTGGTTTTACTCCTTCTTCTTTGGGTATCGGTATTGCAGCTGAGTTGTCCACTCTTCGCCTGGGTTAAATCGTTTGTAAATGCATGAGTAGGTCACTCCGAGTGATTTGCTTTCCTTCTTCCGTTTGGAGGGTATGATCTGATGGTGAAGCGTAATCGCCATGCTTGTTGGTGTGTGTTTTATTTGCAAAAGGACATTGTAGTGGTAAAGTGATTTTTCATGAGAATCTCATCGTTTGCGGTGATTTACATTCTTAATTTGTTTAGCTGATGGGCGTCATTTAGTCACCAATGTTGTACCAGTGGTGATTAGTGTTGTCGCTGTTTGTTCATCTTGTTTATCTCAAGTGGAGTAGGGAGCGTCTGACTCACTTTCACTCATTTCACCTTGTTTATTCGACCATGAGGGCAAAAAGCATTTCCTTAAGGGCACATCTATGTATGCGTGACAGGGCCGCAGTGTTGGAAGTTTCCGCTTGGTTCATCTACAGCTACAATTTCACCTGACAATGAAGACCACAGTTAAAGCATTTGCAGCACCAGTTGACTTCATTTTGGGAGATGAGCATCGCCTGTTTGCTCGACGTTTGGGCACAACTGGTAATGCACGTACTGAGTTAATTCACCTCTATTTCGTTTGTCTCTACTTTCGAAAAAGGATGAAATTGTAGGACTGTTTACTTTTTGACAGTGCATGGTCGGGTTTGGGGTTGAGATTGGGGGATTGGCTATAACGTGTCCCTTTCACGTTGGCGTTTGACTGTTCGTACTCGGTCAGTCTGGAGAAGTGGTCACTTCGTAAATCAGTTGTTTGCAAATATGTTTGTTGGAACGCTAGAAGTCGTTCAATTATTTTCTCTCAACGATCCCTTTTCCATTGCCAATGGGCACTGTGGCTGGTTTTCACCGAAAGTGATTAGCATGTTCCTTTTGAAGTTGGAGCCTGTGGGAGAGGAAGGTTGACGCGTGTTCTCTCCACTGACTTCTCCTTCCCCTCAAGGCGTGCCTGGGCTTTGTGTAAAACTTAACAACGGCTCCACGACCACTGGGCTGCTATTACACCCGTGCGTGTGTGTGTGTGTGTGATTTTGCGGATTCAAGCGTACTGCCACATCGTGTTGTGCTGGTCTTCCTCCACACTCGCTCTTTGTCTCTGTCCTTTGTGTACGCGCTTGTTCACGGACTAATTGGCTGGGTGACTGGTTGGCTAGTGGGTTGTCTAGTTGGCATATACACACACACACACACACACACACGAGCGTGCGCTTTCACGCGCGTTAACCGGCTTCCTAGGGATTTTTGGCTTTTGGGTGCTACCCTGGTTGCCTGCCTGTCCGTCTCTCCGCCCTGACGCGCACCGGCAGGACCCTGGATGTGATGCCCTCTTTAGGTGCACCCAACGCCGTCCAAATGTGTAAATGTACTCACTTGTACTGCATACTACTGGATTTGGATTGCGGAACCGTCCAACTTGGTGAAGACTGTTGAACAGCATGCATGAGTCAGAGGGGAAGGTTTTTGCCACTGACGCAAGTGTGGGTATGTAATTCACTGAGTAGCACATGGTTTGGCTGACAAAAGGTGCCTTCTTTGCGGTAGAACGGTGGTTGCAGTTGACTGAAGTGATTATTGTGATTGATGATGTTTTGTAATTTTGTCACAGCCGTTACTGTATGGAGATTGGATGATTTGGCCTCCTTGGCGAGGTTGTCGTTTCAAGAAAGGGGCGGTGACGTCGCTGAATGATTGCTATCACTGCGAGTAAGAGCGGAGAGGACAATATTGAGTGTGGCAGGAGGGCGCGTGTAATTCGTACGCAAAACACACAAGCGCGTACGCAATGGCTGGCATGGCTACTGCTGGCCTGGAAGCAGTTTGCTGCGTGGCCTAGATTCCGAGGCACACATACACACACACACACACACCCATCATCGTTGCCCTCTGGCAAGGCAGAATTTGTTCCTCGCCGCATGAAGGGTCGAGGTGGTGGTCTGGGTTTTAGTCGTTTTGTAGCACTGTACGAGAACTGCCTTTCTTCAGCGCCACTTGGTTGGGGTAGTTGGTGAGAAGGGAGCCGGTGTCGGTGACTGGTGGCCATTGAAGAGCTTTTTGCACCCTCGAGATTGCATCGCCCGCGTCCATTGGTGGAGGGCACTTTTTCGTTATGAAATAGCCTGTCTTTCGAAGTTGGATTGAAATTGTAGTCGATTTGTCAAAGTCATCATTTTCAGTTCCAAATGATGATAAAGTGGATGTATGCATTCTTAGCTTAGTAAATAGCTATGAGTGATGAGCAAAATGGGATCTGAGGGCTTTTGTGTCATTTTCATAGATGGAGTTGGTGAGCGTGCTAGCAGGTTTGCTACTATACCCATTGAGCTCACTTCATTCGTACAGGCGTTGGTAGTCTTGTGGCAAATGAAAGGAAAAGTAGTGAGAGTTTCTGTGTCTTGTGGTGATTTTAGCGATGGTGCACGCACTTGCTGTGGGGTATGAATGGGGACCGATGCATCAGTGCCGCACTGATTGCCCTATTTCCTTGTCGTTGCATTGTGAAGTGGAGACTGAAGAATGAGGGTTAGTGTCGGGGTTACAGAAGCCTCTAGTGAAATTTGTTTGGTGAGGATTGGTGATAAATCGCCTCGAGGCGCTCTTTGTCCCCATCGATGATGGTTCGGAGAATCGGTGGCTGGCAAGTAAGCAGAGACTCTCAGTAGTTATTAAGGTGAGGTATGCCGAAGTGGTTGGTCCGCGTTAGTTGTTGTGAGGATAGGATTGTGGAGGGGCTTACGGTAAGCGCGGAATGTCGTTTGTTGTTTGTTCGTCTTCTGTATTAAGATGTTGACGCACGAAGTTTTTGAAATTGTTTGGTAACAGGCTGAGTGATGAGGGATGAGACTTTCATTGCAGCAGTAAGCGGAGAAAAACGCTTGTTTCCTTCTAACTATGTACTAATCGTTCATGTCGCACTCCTAACCTCCGATTTCGGGCGACTGTGTGATATGTTTACAAGTGAGCTAGTTTGTGTGTGTGGATGATTGGGGTAGAATGTTAAATAAAGTTAAAGTTTATCCATCTGCTTGATGTACTGAAATGCAACTTGTGGTGGTAGTAGTATTAGTAGAGGGAGGGGAGGGAGTCAGTTAGTGAACTGGTGAGGGAAGTTGTGTTATTCTGAGCAGAGGACGGAAGAGGTTGTTGTGTGCACCATGGCGAAGCTCACCAGCGGATGAAATGGGTGTGCGTTAGGGTAGGATGGTGAAGGGGAGGGAACAGGGGTCCATTTTCAATCTCGTTCCCCGTGTGCGTCTCTGTAGTCGCATATTGATGTGGTTATTTGCACTTAGCGTTGGGCTTAGAGGTATGGGGGATTGCGAAGGCGAATGGGGGTGGAGTAATTGAGTGAAATAGAGTCGGTATGGTCTTGACTGTTTTTGTCTCCCTCAAGGCAGGACTTGTGGCGGAAGTGGAATCCAGAAGGCTGCGCTTCAGGGAGAAAGGGGCGCATTGCTGTGTCGATGTGGCTTTCAATGAGAAGGCAGTTGAAGACGCTCTCTGCAGCTAATTTGTGGTGCAAAAGTCGCATGGGCTTGGTTGCCTCCGGCACAGATTGAATGGTAGTCGCATCCAGTGTTGTGGGCGATATCTCAGTGTCTGTAGAGTGGTAAGCTCAAAGGCGGCGAATGTAGTATTGCTGTGTGTGTCCTCAATACTAGCGTGAGCGTTGTCTTTAGCACTCCTCGTGATTTGATGATCGTGGGAGCTCTAGCAGGTTGGCCCAAGTCATGGGGTGGAGAAGTAGCCTTTATTTGTCCAGTTTGTGTAGCATTGTATTACCTAGTGCAGGAGCATATTTGCCTTGCGTCCGGCGTTGATGCAAGTGTTTTGATGGGGTTTGCTTGGAGGGCGGGCTGGAAGGTGATTGGTATAGCAACTGTCGATCGTGGGAACACTTTCTTGAGAATTGGACGTGTGCTGCAAGAATTTGTTCACTTTGTTCTTGAAGCTCATTGATGCATAGGTTGGTTTAACTCATTCTCGGCTCGCCCTGGAACGGGAGGTTGGTTCGAGGTCTTTTGTTAAAATTTGATGATGTGTTTTGGTACAGCTTCGAAAGCTACGTCTTTGCTGATGTGTTGGATGTGTCGTTTGCCTTTGCGGAGTGCTGGATTTCACTTGCCTTTTGGTTATTAACTTCCCGACATTTATCCTTGCAATTGACGCAGTGGAGATTGTTGTTTGAAGTGGATTGTCCAACTCTAGTTGAGTCATATGCTTGCCAACATAGGGGAGGGCTGAAGGACTGTTGGTGTATGTGCAGTGTCCAATGCAAGTATCATGGTGACGCTGGCCTTACGAAAGCACGGGAAATTTTGTCAAGGCAGCATTTAGTTGTCACTCGAGGCATCGAACGCGTACGCTCATTTCCTGACTGGGTTAGCGGCGTCCTCGTTGTCCAGAGCTGTTGGGGCCTTGCCATACGATCTGTCTTCTTCCTTCTTCTTCCCTTTTGTGTGCGCGTGGCTACAACGAAGAGGACGGGTATGCGGGTAGGTGGACGGTGTGTGGGGCATGTGGATGCAAGCTGATGACCTGTGTAGCACATTCTTTCGCGTCTATTTTTGTCCGCGTGATCACTGTGTATGTGCACGTGCGCGGATGTGTATAGTTGTGCCACTAAATTCGGAAGAAGTAGGCGTCCATTTGCTATGACCTGTACGACTTGTGCATTATAGCTTTTTTGCATTTGCTCAAGTCTGAGTGCGGGTGTCTTTCGCAGCGGCGTCAGGGTTGGAAGTGGTAGGAAGTAGTGGGGCTGACAGTGGTGAGTTTTAATGTTTTATGCTTGTGCAAATCCAATCACTGACAGACGTCATCAGTGCAGAGAAGGAGATCTTGCATCTGCTTGAAGCGATGTGTGGTGTAGGTCTTTTGAGGTGGTTCAGAGTTGACCTCATTGCAAAGGTAACTGTTACAAGACTTCGATTTGGGCAGCTGTTAGTAGTCGATGCGGTCGGTATTGTTGCATTGTGAGCCAGCTTTATTGGGGTCTTTTGTATTGCTTGGACAACACGTGTCAGTGGAGTAGGAATTTTCTTTCAAACGGCTGACAGTGCTTTAGTGTTTTGCTTATTACTACATCAGTGGTGTTGTCGTTCAAAGGTATCTTGTTGACATTTGAAAAGAGTGCTTCCACATGCCCCATGGTGTGGAAGGTTGTCATTGAAGTGCGGTGGTAGGAGTAGAAAAGTGGGGAAGTATTGGCTAGAGGTTGTGAGAGAATGCGGGAAGGGGGAGGAGGAGGAGAGAAGGGAGGACTGGGTCACCATTGTTGATTTGTGACTTTTCTTTGCGGCAATTGGGCAGGACTGCGCAAAGAAGATAAGCCGATGTCGAGACGAAGGGAAGGGACACCTGAACCTCTCCAACAGTCAATTGCACGCTCTGCCTACGAGCATTCGCGACCTCGGTGCCCATCTGTGCGAACTCTTTCTCTACACGAACAAACTCGTCAGTCTTCCCAGTGAGTTACTTGTCCCTTTTCTTCACGCCAGTCGTCATGAGGTGACTGGCGAATTTCGAACGACCTATACGAATGTTCAGTTTAAAGTGTACTTTACTGCATGCCTTTGAGTGTGTCCTATAAGTCTGGGTGCGCTGACATACCCGAATTCCTTCCCTTACTGAGTTGTTTGACATTGCTCTGAGGATAGAGTTGCTGAATGTTGCAAGGATGCTGCTGTTGGGTGAAGTATGAAGGTTTTGTTGTGTTGGGACTGAATTACTTTTAGCTTTAAAAATGTGTCTTCATGGCGGACTGTAATGCATCGGTAAAAGGGATTTCATTTTCATTTCGGTGAAACAGTGGTGCCAGACTGTCGCCTGAGCGAGCGGTGGTGGGTGACTTTGCGTGTAGCGCAAGCGTTTTTTTGTGGTGCTTTTCATCTACTACAGTTTGGTTTTTAGTTTCCATGTTGAGGGTGTTATTAGTTGTGCGTAGCGCTGCGACCGCAGCAAGAGGGCGGGATGAGTTAAGATTAGGAATGGGACCGAACTGATCAATGTCGCGTACCTTCTTCATTTATAGGTAAAATAAGGCGACTGGAGGCATGGAGAATACCGAAGTGCTATTGTTTCTGTTTTTAGTTTGCTTTTTATCAAAGCGTCAATTCTGTTTTGCAAGCGGTCATTTGTAACTGTCTAATATTGATGTTAAAAAGGTGGTAATGTTGATCTGTGAAGTAGGGGAATGGGATGGGAATGGAGGTGGCTGAGGCTGGAGTGGGAGTTGAGGGTGAGGTGACCTCATCGCAATGAGATGAGGTGAGGCGGACTTTTCCTTCCTCCTGTCCCATTCCGTCCAAAAAAGAGGTATGATATGCGTGTCGGTGCTTTGTGACCCGAGGCCTTGCTCTGTCCATTAGTGTGGGAGGAGAGGAGAAGTGCGTTTGTCGAATTGGGTGACGTATAGGAGGCTGTTTGTGTCGAAGTGCTTACACCTGGTCATAATGAGAATGCTTGAAGTAGTGTGGTGTTGAGCCTACGGGAAGGTGTCAGCCGCAAGTCCGCTTCGAACGTGTGTGCACGGTAGGTAGATTTTTGGACTTTGAGGGAGTGTGCACAGTGGATAGTGAGTGATTACTTTGGAGATGGACAGAAGTAGTGGCCAGCTGTCTTGGGACATTACTAGCTAGTTGATGGGTGAGTGAATAATTTGGAATCCACGAAGTGTCACCATATAGTGGTAGTGAGGGGTGAAGCATGGTGCACAACTGTCTTACACTCATTGCCATCAATCAACATGTGCGGGCAGAACTTACTTCCCCCATGGCGTTATGTGCGAATTCGTGAAGGTTTCTTTGATCCAATGGTCTCGAAGGATTTTGATTGCTGTTGGTTGTTGAATTGCAACCTGTATTTGTGAACCAGCAGGCATTGGGATTGGAGTGCAGGTCGGGTGGAATGCTTGTTTCGCGGTGTGTTGTTGGAGCTGTTTCTCCCGACTTTGCGCATGTCTACGGTTTCGGTGGAATGACTTGGCAAGTTGGTGTTTACGTTCTCCCTTGAGGAGTACTAAGTAGTGAACGAGGTTTGCGTTCTTCTTGGTGTGAATTCTGGTGTTGTTTTGAACGACCGGGCTTAGTAGTAGAGAGGAAGTGGGATGCGTGGCACAAAATAATACTAATCTCCCGATAGCAAGGCGATATGTGCGTATTATGGCAGGGCAAGTAAAACATTATGCCACTCCTTTCATTTGGTTGTTTTCTATGGTCTCGATTGGGGCTTTTGAAGGAGGCCTTGTTTACAAGGAAGTTGGTGATATTGGCCTTGTGGGAAGTGTTTGTAGGAGTGCGTAGCTGTCAGCAAATGGTGCTAGGATGTGGGACGAAAATTGATGTGTCCTATCCTCTTGTTGTGGTTGGAGTGGCAAACACATATAAGAAGTTGGAGTGATGTGAAGTGAAATGAAGTTTCTGTAGCATAAAGTCAGTCGCATAATTGGGCGATATTGGTAGGGATGCGTTGTCAGTTTTGCTTCCAAGGCCTCATTTAATGCACATTCGACGGCAACCTCTGATGTTTTTTTGCATATTTGATAGACGAGATCGGGACGCTAACACAGTTGACAAAGTTGATGGTGCAGGAGAATTCGCTGACCTCGTTGCCCGATAGTCTGGCGGAGTGCACGCACCTGAGCATTCTCGACGTGCGGCACAATAAGTTGTGTGAAATTCCTCCTGTTATCTACCGTCTGCCAAACCTGGTACTACTCTTGCTTCGCTGCAACCGCATCCGGGTGGTCGACTGCGAAATCGGGCGTCTGACGGTACGTTCTCTGTCTACGATAGGGATTAATGACTTTGGAACGTTTGATTCCACTGCACTCTCCGCCCTAATTGACGGCTCATCTTGTTGAGGTCGCATATTGCGCCCCTAGGAGACAAATAGAGGAGGAGACACCCGAGAAGTGGGAGGAGTGATTTGTGCTACTGGGTTTGCTGTCAGTAGTGGTTGTGGGGGCATTAAGTTTTACTCTGGATGGGAGAAGTTGTTCCTACTTGACCCGCTGTATGCATGGCCACTGGGGTCCCTGTTGCCCCAATTGGTGTCGCGTTGGGTTGCGCTTGTGCACTTAAAGTCAATTGAGTCGGCATTCAAAGCATGAGTGCGGTAGCTGGTGGGGCTTTTTATCGGAAGGAAATTTATCCAAGTGGTTTGACATCCTGCAGAGGTGAGATGAGCTGATGCTGGACTTACGGTGACGATTGTTACCTTTTACCTGATACAATGAGTGGGTGTTTGAGGAACCGTATTGACGGTTACTTGAAGAGGTTTGATTGCTTATCCGCCCACCTCTTCCATCGTCATTTTCGTTGAGTCTTCGTTCGTTACTTGTCTTTCAACGACCCAAGTCCTCTTGCTCTTCAAACTAAGGCCATGTGTGTGGAGTAGAAAGCACGTAAGGCATCTATGAATCTCCTCCAGTGATGGCAAAAAAAGGAAAAATCGAAAGTTGGTCTGATGTACGCTTTTCCTTGTTTCTGTTCTTTTGAAAGCTTGCTTCACTTACGAGTGTCGTAGCTAAGCAACAGCTTTTGGTGAATTTGGATGGCAATAAGTTGGGCGATCTAGAGCAGAACAGATCGTCAAAGGTCATTGTTCCCTTCCTCACAGAAGTTACAAGTACTGAGTCTTCGAGAGAACAAGATCCGACAATTGCCTTCGATTCCAGGCATCTGCGAGTTGAAACAACTTACTACTTTGGACGTCTCAAAGAATCAGTTGGAACATCTTCCTGAGGGTGAGTTCTGCCTCCTGTAAAAGTGAGATGACTGAAAAGGGCGTTTTGTTGGGAAAAGAGAAGTGTAAGGTGTACGGATTCTTTTTGGGTTCGTTGTGGTGTCATTTAGTGCGTATGAGTGCGCCTAGAATGATGCGATGACGTCGTTGATGGCGATTTATTCCCCACTTCCACAAATGTTGTTCCTCATATTGCACTCTTATAAGCCACCCGTCGTTATTGGCGGCATCTTTACCAATGGGCACTGCTGGAGTTTCTTCTCTTCGCGCAGAAATCGGTCAATGCAGAAACCTTACGGAGATCAGTCTGCAGAACAATGAACTAACCTCCTTGCCCGAATCAATTGGTGAATTGGCTCTCCTCGAACGGCTCGGCATTAGGTAGGTTGTACACCTTTTTTTTTTAAAAAA